ATATTTTATGATGTTTGTCTTTCTGACTTACTCAGTATGATAATCTCTAGAGACATCCATGTTGCTGCAAATGGCTTTATTTTACTTTTTTATGGATGAGTAAGATTCAGATATATATATATATGTATATATATATATATATATGCACACACACACACCACATCTTCGTCCATTCCACTGCTGGTGGACACTTAGGCTGTTGCCATGTCTTGGCTATTGTAAATACTGCCGCTATGAACATTGGGGTGCGTGTATCTTTTCGAATACACAAATAGAGTTTTGTCTGGGTATGTTCCCAGGTGTGGGATTACTAAATCATATGATACGTCTTGTTTTTTTTTTAAGGAACCTCCAAACTGTTCTCCACAGTGGCTGGACCAAATTACATTCCCACCTTCAGGGTGGAAAGGATCCCTACTGATTGCAGGTTGAGCAAGCTGCTGGAGCCACGGTCCAAACCAGCCTTGAGACCAACCAAACTTGCCTCCAGTTTGGCTCAAATAACTGCAATACCCAAGTCCTCTAATTTTCCAGGCTAAAATGCTTGATGCATACGTTTGAAAGGTTTTTCTGACTTGTTGTAGGGTTTTCAATAGTTTTTAATTATAAAGTAAATATGTCCTTTGCAGAAAGTATGTAAAATACAGAGAAGCACAAAGCATAATCAAGTCTTGCAACATTTTGACAGATACATATCCAATCTTATTTCAGTTCATATAGATACATAATTCTGTTCTTTTTATATACAGTGCATACAGTTTTATAACTGTTTATTTGACTCAATTGCATATTATGACTAAAAGTATACAGTATCAAGCTTTTTTCTTGGTACCAAGTATTTTCTATGTATTAATAATTACTAATGATTGCATAGTTTTCCATAGTGTGGGTATGCCATAATTTATTTAATAAATTAGAAGGTTTAGGAAAAAATCTGTAGTTGAGCAGCTAGAGCCATCCCCTTAAGGTTATTGTAACACATAAAAACCGTCCACCAAACTCTTTGACACACACGAATCCTCGAAGGTATGATTTTTCATGTGAAATGGCTCTAGCTGTCAATCATTTATTCTCCGTGTCATGGTTGTGGTGCTCTCTCCAGGTTGTTAGGGGGTGATTATGGATTCCTGTCAAATGAGATGTCTACTATGTATTCAACACGAGGCAGTTTGTATTCTTCTTCGTCTATTGCTTTCCCGTCGGAGGGAGTTAAGCAAATCTGTGAGCCAAAGGGGAATGGGATAGGCGTGAGTGCTGGCAGCGCACGGCAGACATGCCCTAAGCCCAGAGATCCCCAGATAAGCAGATTAGACTGCTACATAAATACATTTGTCTTGATTGTCACTTTCCACCCAGGGTTACACCTACATGCATAAAAATGGCTCCAAGCCTATTTTTTCAAAGCCAGTTTGCATCCCTTGTTGCTTTTTAACTAGCCAGCTCAGAGGCAATTTTTTGTGTGTTATATCTATCAAAGATGATTAAGGGACTGGGAGAGTTGATGTATAAGGACGGATTGAGAAAACTAAATATTTACAACTTGACTGAGTAACAGCCAAGGGGAGGATATTATGACTGTCTGCTGGGCTCAAATCATGGAGGAGATATTGTTTTGCCTTCCCCAGTAACTCAATTGTAGGGATATCTAAATTCAGGGAAAGTTTTCTGCAGATGACATCACTTATGCTAATTAGATAATTGTGTCAGTTGAAATTACATTTCACCGCTAGTAGCAGAAACTTGCAATAGCAGTGGCTTAGACAAATAAGGTTTCATTTTCTCTCCGATTATAACACGAAGCCCAGAAATGTATCATCTGGGTCTGCATGGCAGTTCTGTGATGTCATCGGTGCCTCTGTGTCCTCCTGCCTTTGGCTCCGTTATTCTCAGGGTGATTTTCATACTCAAGGTCGCCTGGTATTTGAAGAAGAGCTACTGCAGCTTCACTTATCCTGGCCGCACTCCAGAAAGGGGGAGGCGAAAGAAGTCCCTGCCAGTAAGACTGCTTGGAAGAACTTTCTCAGCAGTCCGCTTCCTGATTCCAATTTACATCCCATTGACCGCCATATCCACAAGAGAGGCTGGGAAAGTGAGCAGGGTTTTGGTTTGGTTTATTTTGATTTTGCATTGGGTACGTTGCTTACTGCAGCAGTTAAGATCCTTTGACTGAGAAGGTGTGGCAGCCTGGAGATCGCGTAGGCAGCTGGTGGTTTCGGTCACAGTGACTTGCCTCTTCAAGAGTCTGAGACGTCTGGACTCTGAGACACGGCAACGTTTGCTATGATATTACAAGGTTCCATTTGTAAACCTAGCCCTAGCTATCTAATTTATTTACTTCTGATCACCCATCTATTTCAATTTATTCATCACAGCGTACCCTGGGTTGACAGTAAATAAACCCGTCATCTCAACAGACTAAAGAATAATAATGACTACAACTTACTAGCTTTCATCCAGCTCCATGCACTGTGTTATGCATTTAACATCACCTGAATGATTTGCTTCAAAATATTCCAGGGGGGATGGAGAGTAGAACTGAATAAATGAAACAATACTCACCATGTAAAAGTGAGAGTTAGTCACTCAGTCATGTCCGACTCTTGGCAGCCCTATGGACTGTAGCCCGCCAGGCCCCTCTGTCCACGGGATTCTCCAGGCAAGAATACTAGAGTGGGTAGCCATTCCCTTCTCCAGGGGATCTTCCCGACCCAGGAATTGAATTGGCGTCTCCTGCATTGCTGGCAGATACTTTACCGTCTGAGCCGCCAGGAATCACCATGGGTTGCTAGTAATTGAAGCTTGAGCAATGGCTACGGGGGAGGTGATTATATATATTCTTTGCTCTACTTTGTAATAATGGAAAGTTTCCCAGTGAAGATCTTTAAATCACTTTCTCAGCTTCTTCCATGATTTCGTCTGAGGTCGGTACCATTAGCCCTAGCTAACCATGCTCAGGGCAGGTAAGCAGCATCACAGAGCAAATGAATGGCAGTTTGAGGACTCAGACCCAGGTTGGCCTGACTTAGAAACCTGTGCTGTAACCCCGATTATTCAAAGAAAGTGTGTCTTCCAGGGAAGGAGACTGAAACTTATGAGAAATTCAGACTTTTGGGTCCCACCAAGACCTGTTACACGACCCTTGCGTTTGGTTTGTGTGCTTACCCAGAGTTCCCATGCTCTGTCCATGGCAGTGTTAATTGCCTCCATAGCCACCGCTTACCCAACTCAATCAACTGTGACTTTCCTTAAAAAAATGTACCCACTTTTAGAGAGAGAACGTAGGTACACCTATGACTGATTCATGTTGATGTTTGGCACCAACCAACACAATACTATAAAGCAATTACCCTTCAATTACAAATAAATTAATTTTAAAAAATGCTACCCTCTTTTGAAACAAGAAGTCTTATCATGAGCCACTCTTTGGTAGCATTTAACAACAATTTAATAAGCATTTAATTCAGAGCAGTTACTTCTTTCAACACTGAGCACCCGCCTTTATTGCTGGGCACTACATGCCTATGTGTGAATTAAGCATTGTTCTGACCATATTGTCAGCTGCTAATAATCACTGCTTGCTTGAAACTAACTTTGGTTTGTTCTTAAATAATGCTCTTGCTCTGTTCACTTAAGGTATTGTGAGTTTCAAAAGCTTCGGGACTTATAGAAAATTTCAAGTACCTGTTCTTCTCATCATCTCTATTTACCTGTGTGTACTTTTCCCAAAATGTTGTGTTTTTGTTTTCCCTATAGCATCTTCAGTCATCTTGTATCATTTCAGCCATGTTTTTGAGAGAAAGAGAAATATGGATTAGTTTTTATGTACCATGCAGGCAAAACACTTAACCTTCTGAGCCTCCATCCCTCCTTTTGTACAGTGGCTGGGTCACTTCCGATGTCATTCTTCTCTAACCTCATATAACTTGATTTTTCAACCCATCCCCTCCCCACAAAAGAAAACCACAGAAACATTTTGAAGATACTGGACTGTATGGGAAATGCACTTGATTATATTTTCCAGCCAGTTAAAGGATCCTTCACTGATTTGTACTGGTTTCTCTATCCAAATAGATGTTTTATAGCTTCCTTGCCTCCAGTCCTTTTTAGAACAAGGAGAAGACTCTTCAAAGTCCCTTGGACAGCAAGGAGATCAAATCAGTCAATCCTAAAGGAAACCAACCTTGAATATTCATTGGAAGAACTGATGCTGAAGCTAAAACTCCATTACCTGGACTACCTGCTGCAAAGAGCCGACTCATTGGGAAAGACCCCGATGCTGGGAAAGATGGAAGGCAGGAGGAGAAGGGGATGACAGAGGATGAGATGGTTGGATGGCATCACCGACTCAAGGGAGACAAATTTGAGCAAGCTCTGGGAGATGTTGAAGGGCAGGGAAGCCTGACACGAGGCAGTCCATGGGGCTGCAAAGAGTTGGACACGACTGAGCAACAACCACAAAATGAATCAATGAATGAGGCCTGTCATCCATTCCAACTATAATCTGCTTTCTTAAAGAGATTGGACCCTCTTTGCTTTTGAACAGCTTAAAACATTTTCTGGCTGCCAAGTTAATATAGCTGTTTCGTATATTATAACCACCTTCAAACACTGTATATACCTAACACCCTAACCTATTAGTCAACTTCCATAGCAGAAGAGGCAAGAAGAAAACCTACAAAAGAGCAGGTGTCAAAGCCATCCTCAAGGACTGTCACTGTATAATCAGGCCCACACTGGTTGGAGTACAAGTATCAGGGTCACTTTGTTCTTCTTCTTCATTCTTTCAATGACTCTTTCTCTTATAACAGGAGAAAATATATGCATATGATAATGCCAATATATGTATATGATAATGTTCTCACAAAATAGAACCTAGGAAAAATAGCATGCTGTAAGATAGTGATGATAACAACCATCTTTGCTAGACAAGCGTTAGAAAGTCTTGCCACCTCTGTCTTTTCGAGGCTGTAAGTAAAGTGTGTTTCTGATTTGTTGTGCAGGGCAGCGTTTGGCAAGGAGTCGGAAGTTCTTATTGGAAACCTGGGTGATAAATTAATCCCTCCACAAGACATCCTCTGTGACGTCAGTGACCTCAAAGCCTTGGCCAACATGCACGAGAGCTTGGAATGGTTAGCAGGCCGAACAAAGGCAGCCTTCTCCAGTCTTTCTACGTCCCAGAGTGAGTATTGGTGGGGTGGATCTTGTGGGGCCAGCTGAGAAACTAGACTGAGTACATTCATTTGAGATGAGAGAGCGTCTACACGTCTCCATAGGGGCACATGTCCAAGTTGTCAGAAGATCCGTGCAGGGATTCTGCTTGTGCTGAGCCTCGGGTACTTTACGGTTCTGTGAAACAAAGAAATCTTGACTTCTGTGTTTTGGGGCGTGGGAAGCCAAAAAAGGTCCATGTCAGCATAGCTTGACATTAAACCTTAGAAACCCAGGATCATGCAAGATTGAACCACCATGTCTCAAAAACAGAAAGCAGTATGCTTTTTCCTCCTTATGACTACATAAAGGTAGAAACTATGTCTCAGAGCTCAAAGTTGTATATTTGGTTGATGTTTTCATTTCAACTGATAGAAGAGAAATCAAAAGTATCTAAAAAGACAATTATATTAATAGAAATGGTTAAGGTCCTAGAAAACAGACAGTGAGAAAAACAATTATTCTATGTAAGAGATGGCTAAAAGATAACCTCATTATACATTTCAGGGGAATTAAGGGATATGGTCTGAAGTAAAAATAGGAAACCTGTTTTTCTATCAAGGACCAATGATCAGTTATTTCAAAATAATTTGAAAACTTTGAGACACAAAATTTATTCATTAAATACAGTGTAAATACTTTTTTAAAGCATTAGTTAAGTGTTAAACAGTTAAAGGCAAAGAAAAAAGTGATATGCAGAAGGAATAAAGGAGATGGCAGATTTGAATGCATGAATTGAAGGACAGAAAACAGGATAGAAAAAAGCAAAATAACAGCAAGAACATGAAAGAAACTAAATCAACTCTGAAGTTAATATTAGACTGAACTGTTAGAAGATTATTAGAAGGAAAAGCTTATATTATTTGGACTGTGAACTTCAAAGAAAGTTATTTTTTATCACTGTCTCCTGAAAAGTTATTATTACTTGATGAACCATGATTTCAAGACCCAAGAGGGAGAAGATGTGGATGAAATAAACTAGAGTAAATTATTTCCTGGAACATGAGTCTCATGGGCAGAGTCTAGGAGACTTTCGAATGCTCACTACTTACAATCTCCCGCAGGTTGTGTAGCTGTCCTGGGGGTCAACAGCGGGTGAGGAAGAAGGATGGAAGGAGGGGGCTTTTGATGTTAGGTATTCTGCTTTAGAAATCTCATTAAAATGCTACTCTTTGATAATACTTTTATTTTTATACTTTTATTATTTAAAATATTGCTTTTAGCTGATAAATACTTGGGTGCAGTATTGGGTCTGAGCAGACTCTGCCTAAGTAGATACCTTTGGGAGGCTTTCAACTTTGTGATCTCTTCAGATCAAGGAACCTGTCACAAGTAGTAGTTGAAATTAGCTATTTTATCTCCCACACTCACCCCACTCCACCACCAACAACAAAAAAAATCAGGGAGGAGCTGACTTCCCCTTTTGTTCCTTGCCAAATAAACAGCTCTGAAGAGGAACCAGATGCTTCCTGTCCCAGTATCCTTTGACTCTTGAAATGTAGGGCTGCTTGGGCAGGTGTGTTAGTGACGACTGGAAGGAGTCCTCTCGTTTGGTGGGTCATCCAAGTCTAATAGTTAATAGTGCAATCTCTTACTTTGGCAGCACAGCAGTCCAGATTTCTACTCTAAAAGAGTTCCACAAGGCAAAATAGGACACACAACCTCTCCAGCAAGCCACCGAGTGATTCACACAGGCTAACCTGGCTTAACTGTTCTCTGCAGAGAAAGACATGCTCTCATAGTTATGCTCAACTCTGTAATTGCACCATCCCGCTGTTGTGTTCATGTCACTAAGAGTCCCCAGTACAGTTGATGTCTAATTCATGCCTTCTATCATCTCTGTTTTTCTGACAAAGATCTCTCGTACCACGCCCGTTAATACCTCTCATATGCTCAGTTCCATTTTATAATATAAGTTGTACCCTCTCAGTTCCTTTCAGGGTGATTATTCCACCCAGTGAGTGATTTAAGTGACTGTCAGCATTTTGACGATCAGCGCAAAACCCAAGTGAACTGTAATCACTAGTTATGTTGTCTTTGTTAAAACAAAGCATCGAACAAACCTGGTTTATTCTGTTAGCAACATGCCTTGCTCACCCACACTTGTCTAGTCTTCGAATTCCCAGCAGAGATGCCCATTGCTGTTTATAATTTGAACAAAGCAAGGGATTCTCTGATAATGGGTTACTTTGATTGTTCCATGTCAGTGTGACTTTAGAAAGGGAATCAGGGACAGCTCTTTATACTCTTTTGAAAAGTGAACCACATGATTGCTTTAACAAAAGTATTGCCAAGTCTGGAGACTTGATAGCATGAAGAAAATGCCAGCCTTTTTATCTAGCACTCCCAGAGACTCAGGATAGGGAAAAGTCAAGAAAAGAAGTGTAAAAGTTGCCTCCAACTAATAAAAATAAGTGGGGGAAAAAAAAAAGTGTAAAAGTTTATTTTTTGTCCACATCTGTTTACCTATTTTGGATGGTAATACTGTGCCTTATTATAATTAAGGTACATGGAGAAAGTTTGCAGAAAATTATTTTCATAGTAAAAACAAAAATCTCTTTAGATATTACAATAGGATTCTCCTCCACTTGAAATATTTCATGTCTTTATGAAATATTTCAAGTAAAGGATAATGGCAGAGCATGGCTGGCCATGTGCCCAGGAAATAAAGAGTAGACCCTTTTTTCAAAGATAGTTTTTCCATCTCTTTTAGTGTTTGCACCCACACCCTTCTGTCTTCTTTACACTTAGGAGAGTCTCCTTACCTCATGTAGATCCTAACTGCACCAGAGACACTGCTCTTTTTTCATCCTTCCACAGTCCTTGTTCCTTCTCCATGTCTCCCAGTATTCTCCTGCTCAGTCTTCCTTAAACTTACTCTGCTTAAAATCCTTTCTGCTGAGTGCTCAGTTACTTCAGTTGTCTGACTTTTTGTGACCCCATGGACCGTAGCCCACCAGGATCCCCTGTCCATGGGATTCCCAGGCAAGAAGCCTGGAGTGGATTGCCATGCCCTCCTCCAGGGCATCTTCCCGACCCAGGGATCAAACCCACGTTTCCTGCATCTTCTGCATTGCAGGCAGATTCTCTCCTGCTGAGCCACCAGGGAAGCCTGGTGACAGTCACAGCCCAAGTAAAGGACAAAAAATATTCTTTATTTATAAAACCGGTAAATCTTTTTAATGGCTGAGTAGTATTCCATGGTGTATATGTACCACAGCTTCCTCATCCATTCGTCTGCTGATGGGCATCTAGGTTGCTTCCATGTCCTGACTATCATAAACAGTGCTGCGATGAACATTGGGGTGCACGTGTCTCTTTCAGATCTGGTTTCCTCGGTGTGTATGCCCAGAAGTGGGATTGCTGGGTCATATGGCAGTTCTATTTCCAGCTTTTTAAGAAATCTCCACACTGTTTTCCATAGTGGCTGTACTAATTTGCATTCCCACCAACAGTGTAAGAGGGTTCCCTTTTCTCCACACCCTCTCCAGCATTTATTGCTTGTAGACTTTTGGATAGCAGCCATCCTGACTGG